GTTACTTTCGCACCAACGTCAAAAGTTTTCAGAGTGAACATGACTTTCACTTTGCATTGTAATGTTACTACGTTAATAAATGTATGTTATTGAGCATTTCCAGAACATTTTTGAGTCATTGTCTCTTTTAATAATTGTATAATATGATAATAAATAGTTGTATTAACTATTATCCATCATGCAGTGGTGTATAGAATTATGAGTGTTTGTTCGTTTGTTTGTTTTACATTTCATTATGCTGGAATGTCAGGAAAACCCGAGAAGGAAGCGGCTTCTGTTCAATATCAATTTATTCTCTCAAAACCAAAGTATTTACCTCGTGTAATAATCGTTTGAGAAACCTGCAATACTTGTAGTTAACATGAGTTTAATAGCATACGAGGGTTGTTAAAATCTTCCTACATTTTAGGTGTGCAGGGGGGGGGGTGCCCTCCCACCACCAACCCCATAACCTCAAAATACGTCATTTGGTTAGGTTGGAAATAATATTGAAATAATTCCTCAATTTATTTTTGCACCTTGAACTCTCTTCTTACGTACATGTATATGAGCAGGGTCATTTTCAAAACGAACAGCGATCATGAGCTCCACATGCCTGGAACTGGAAACATAACTGCTATCAAATCTAGTTAATCATGAGAAAAATTGCGTCCTAGAATAAGATTTTGTTTGATTTTGTAAAATTAAATGGTTTTAGAAGAACATGTATACACTGGGTATTAATAGATATCGGGTATTTTATTGTCATTTCAACAAATTTTATCCGAACTTTGAATGAAATCAATATGTCATTTTTTTAAATTAATATCAAATAGATTTTTCTAAGAAATAAATCATAATTGTGACATGACCCGGCGAGTTTTCCTTTGAAGTCAGCCGTACAATAACTGCGATACAGAACACTTTTAGTGGGCATTTCTTATGCAAATGAGCAGAAACTGTACTGTATCTGCAAAATATCAACGATACAGTACGGTTTATTTTTAGTGATGACGGAAAACTGAATCCGTATCTTAAATAATATAGATAAGAATCAATCAAATCGCATGATAGCGCTGTTAATATTTATTCAAAATTTGAAATGAATTAAGAATAGAATTTTACAACCTAAAGTTACCAGTGGCGGATTCAAAAATTTTAGAAAGGAGGGAGTGGGGGCAGTACACAAAATAGTTTTCTTCCCCAAAAAAATGTCCAACTGGAAAACCGGGGGTTTCGTGAGGGGGGGGGGGGAGGGAGGGAGGGGGGTAGATTCATAATCAGGCCTGATACTATATGTGCGTGATCGTTTCGTGTTGATAAATTAAAAGTGTATAAGAGTTAAGCAATCATTATTTACGAAAGTCAAAAAGAAAAAAAAAATCAAAAGGGGGAGGGGTTACCGACGCGCGCGAGTGAGTGCTGGATCTGCCTTTGGTTCCTCAATATTTTGTTTCAAACATGAAGGTAATATGCCCCCTTTCTTACATCTGTTTATTTCAATTTGGAGCCAAGAATTTTGTATACACGTGTATGACGACCGGTCATGACATTGTCGGACATTTCTCTCGATCTAGGAATACAACCTCCCCGAAACATTTTTGCTTCAAATACATTCCCATATATGATTCTTATGTATCAAAATGTTTTGCACTAAATTTGTAGCTTAGATTTTAAAAAAAGTCAGAAAGAGCTAAATAGAAAGGAAAAAACCTACGCAATCAAATATAAATTAAATTTTGGGAAAACATATGATATAATGTATCTCATAATTATAATTATTTAAATTGATAGATACCTGCACGTCCACCTCTCTCGGCATTAATTTGCGATTGCTTAAAATGGGGTACTAAATCAACTTTCTGCAAAATCATCTGATTGGTTGAGAGATATATACCTAAATACACATGTAAATTAGCGAGGTCATAAGAAAGGTCATGTCACAAGACATTTAGAATACTCGTTTCCTACTGTATCGGAGGTACAGGGCGGGGCCCGGCTCGAGCTATCGCTCTCGCCTTGAGCCCCGCCCTGTATCTCCGATACAGTAGGAAACTCATACTCTAAATATAACATAATTATATATATGTTGTCGTTATGAATCAATGACATGCAGATTAATTAATAGAATTTTTTCGGCGGGGGGGGGGGGGTAAAAATTAATTGAAAGTTTTATATATCCAGTCAGTTAAATGCGACTGGTTCATAATATTCCTTGATTGGCTGAGTTTTTAAACGACAAATTTTTACGATGTGGCACACATTTAGGTACATGTAAATATTGTTATGTGATGGTGTGTGTAGAATCCCCCCCCCCCCATTTCTCGCGGCTTCTTTATCGTATGAAATTCTAACGTTATTGTTTTCAAATGTTATTGTATATGAAGTTTTACAATATAAAAATTCCATTCTGGCCCCATGCCAGAAACTTGGATATGCTTATCCTTGTAAAACTTTACAGATACACTGTAAAGTAATTAGGTCCCGATAATATAAAATGACCCTGGCCCTCTTTCCCGGTCTCCTGCACTGCCACAAAAATAAAAACTTGCAAACATAGTCTTTTGTGCAGTATATTTTTAGCATTAGATTTAATTTATACAATGCATGTTTAAATACAATTTTATCTTAACAAGATTTATTTCAATAAATCCAAATAACAAAATCAGCCCGTTTACATAATTCAACGGCAAGTTAAGCAATATCACACTAAACCGATAACTGAGATTATTATTTCAATAAGAAAACGAGTTTTATATTGATAATAGAACTGTAATGACATACAATGCTGAGATTCTATGAATGACAAGGATTACATATATTTGACTTTTAAGTGACTAAAAACTGCAGATAAAGCTAAAACCTTTGAACTTTTTTATGCACAACACGAGTACCAAAATGTTATATTTTCGAGTTACTGAAAATAAATAGACAGCAAAAGAAAAAAGAGATAGAGATTTCTTTTCATAATACGATATTGTTGTGTTTTTGAAAATTCGCCTTTTCATTAAAGTTTCACATTTCACATTGTATTAGTAAACTTGATTTAATGTAACATCTCTCTCTCTCTCTCTCTCTCTTTCTCGCTCCCTCTCTCACACATCAGGTATACATACATGTAAACTTTTTTTAAGCTAGAACAATTAGAACAGTTTTATTTCATTCGGTAGTTTTTGTTTGTTTTAAAGTACTTACTTCGGAAGTGGCAACAACAAAAATAAGACGAAACATTTTTTTTTTTAATTTCATTTTATTTTATTTAACTTTATGATCATTATTACTGAAAAAAAAATTCAAGTTATTTCAAAAAATAATTTCATGTTAGAATAAATAGATGCACATGTAACAGATTTAAAAAAAAAAAAATGAAAGTCTGGTTCAATGTAGCATCTATTTCTTATTCTATATTTTTTTCTCTTTCACTTTGACAGCTGCTCGTTCCATGAGCTTTCAAAAATACTTTTGAAGAAAATATAAATATAATACTTACAATTAAAACGTTTTTAACTGATGATAAGTAAGATTTTTAAAAATATTTTTTATACTACGGGAGCAAATTCGTATGAGTATGTTGATTTTGAATGGTGTTAAAAAACAGAAAGTCCCTCTTTGGTACCTCTCTAGTATCTCGCTAGTCAGAGTTACCTCTCTTGATTTTATTTATAGTTCTTAAAATAATATCACGTCTGTCATTCGTACCTACTTTTGCTAGATTTGTGAAAACTTACAGGAATACTTTTCTTTTCTGTTGGAAGAAGTGTGATCAGTTTCTTGTGTGATCAGATTTTTGGCAATTAAAGCATTTTACAACACAAATTTATGCACGATGTACCAATGCTTCAATGTCTACATGATCGATGTGTTGAGAATGGTGGGGCGGATCTTATACAGGAAAACGATTTCCTCTGCAATATTTTGATAATATACCCGTGTCTAACAAATACCTTCAATTTGTCTATATATCAAAATCGCATTCGTTCATCCATATTCAATTATCCAGAAAATCACCTTGTCTGAAGCTTCTACAGGAATGCATAGCCCAGATCAGAGACGTATATAACATGTAGTAAAGAAACGGGTTTCGAATAAAATTCTAGATATTTTATTTAATATCAGTGGACTAGAAGATCAAGACCTGAATTAAAGATATAAATGAAAATAAATAATTATTTCAATGTTGAGAACACGACTTGAGCTAGACGTGTCAAAACGTAAAACACGTGGATAAAAAGAAATCTGCGTCGACGCTCACCGTCTGCAACGTCATATCTTTATGACGTTATTTCTCTGTTTTAACAAAATTGCCATAAGGCCCTTTTGTCATGGGCGCAATCATATATATATATATATATATATATATATATATATATATATATATATATATATATATATATATATAGATATATATATATATATATATATAGTGAAATTGTAGTAAAAGTCCACGGTATAGGTAGGTTATAAATTAAAATAAAATCCAAGATAAACAAACAAGTTCACATTTAATTATTACACTAAGCGCTTTCGCCGTGAGGCTCTTCAGAGTGTAACAAAGTTTATAAAAACAATACAACTTGGTTGTTATGACGTCGTTATTGTGACGTCATAAAGGCAGCATTATATATTGGCGCAGGTAAATATCATTAGGGCGCCAAAAGTAGAGAATTGAACATATGTACATTGTGATGAAATAGACTGCTAATTTTAAGCTATAATGTTCAATTTACATTTAGTTTAGGTTTAAATAATTTTACAAAGTAATCTTCCTTGGCTCTCCGTAATTGTTCATTATTTTCTAGAACTTTATAAAATGGAAATATTAAAAAATTTCCATTCGCACATGAATCAAAATGTTCACTGCATGGCGTATTCCTGACAGAAGGGTCCCGTATTTGTTGTTTATGGACTCTTACGCGGTCAGCTAGTTTGTTACCGGTCTGTCCAATGTAGTTTTCCCCGCATGAAGTACAAGTCATACAGTATATTAAATTTTTAGATTTGCATGACATATTCGCATTTACAGTAAATGTTTTACCACATTTAAAAGTAAACGTCTCTCCTGTTTTTAAATAAGGACAGGTTCCACATAGGGGGTCCATACATTTGGCCACTGTGCGTATGTCTTCATTTGACGAAAATTTGGCTCTTGTAAGGAGTTTCTTCAGGTTTGGGGGTTGGCGCCGGCTATAGATTATGCTCTTCAGGTCAATTAATTCCTTTAGATTTCGGGATTGTTGTAGAATGGGGAAACACTGTTTTACGGAATTATACATATTAAGGTTCCGGGGGTTATGTGTAACGACAAGCGGGATTTCTTTATTGTTTTCCTGGGCCCCTGCTCTAGTAGAACTCCGGAGATCTGTAGTTGGTAATGACTTGGCCCTTTCAATAGCGACGTCTATTAGATCATTGGGATAGTAAAAAAGTTGTCTAAGTAAAAAAGTTTTCAATTCCTGCAGACGGCTGTTTCTTCTGGTTTCATCTATGACAATGGTACAAACACGTCTTGCCATATTAAAAGGTATGTTACGTTTTACGTGTGAAGGATGGCAGGAATTAAATACAAGGTATTGGTGGGAATCCGTTTTCTTGTAGTATAAATCTGTTATGATTTTACGACCCTCCTTAATTATAAGGATATCTAAAAAAGGTAGTTCCAATCCGCTTTTTTCCACCGTAAATTTAATAGACGGATGTAGATTGTTAAGAATAGAATGAAATTCTTGTAAATCTTCATTAGATCTGTTCCAGAAAATGAAACAATCAGCTAAATATCGCTTCCAATTAAAGCGTATATATTGGGCAAACTGATTTCCAAATCTTCTGTCTGTTTCACTGGTCAATTTTTCTTCTAAAAACCCAAGTACTAGGGTGGCATAGGTTGGGGCAACTTTTGTGCCCATCACTGTTCCTTTTATTTGTAGAAAATTTCTGCTGTCAAAAACAAAATGGTTATTTTCTAATACTATTTTTAATCCTTCTAGGATAAAGTCTTTGGAAAATCTTTCATTTATTTCACTGCGGTATTTATCGATCCAAAAAGCGATTGCTTCCAGTCCAAGTGTATGTGGTATGTTAGTATAGAGGCTCCTTACATCAAAACTAACCATCTCTGTATTTATTTCAACTGTATCTGGGATGTGGCCAAGAAAATCCATATCATCCCTTACATAACTTGGTACAAGTTGGCATAGAGGCTTTAGAAGTATATCCAACAAGTTACTAATTCTGTGCGTGGGGCATGCAGGGCCAGCTACAATTGGTCTAAGCTTTAAATCTGTTGGTCGAGGTAATTTTATATATAAAGCGTTTTTACCTTCGAGTCCGTCCTGTATTTCTTTGGATTTGTGGATCTTTGGTAAACCATAAAAGTTACTACATTTATTTTCGAAATTTGTTAAATAATCCACTTCTTTCACGGTTAAATTATCCGCAAATTTAGAAGTTAATTTCTTAATCTTGCATATGGTTTTACTGTCCTCATTAGAAACTAATTCTTTGTAAAAGTTGGTGTCCATAAGTTGGTCTAAAACCATTTCTCTGTAATGATCCATATCCATAATGACAATTGCTCCCCCTTTATCTGCTTCCTTTATAACAATAGAATTATCAATTGCGAGGCTTTTGATAGCTTCTCGTTCCAGTCTATTGATATTATCTTTAATACGGGTATTCATACAGAAGTCATTATTTCTTGCGGAACTTTGTAAACATTTAATAAATTCATCTAAATGTTTATCTCTATTAGGTGGTGGTTTGAAGTTACTTTTATTTCTTACAAGAGATTCGTCTATATTTTCTTCATTTTGAAAATATTCTCCAAGTCTAAGTTTTCGACAAAACTCCTCGGTATCTTTTATGAGATCCACATTATCCTGTTTTGGCGTGGGTGTGAATTTTAAACCCTTTTCAAGAATTTTCATTTCGTTTTCTGAAATATCTCTCTGAGATATATTAATAATTTTTACATCGATTTTCTGTTTTTGACTTACTTCTGAGTTGTCTAAATTTGCAGAAATCGGAATGTTTTCTGTCGTCCCTTGTGGAAGCGTCCTTTCCACAAAAAATTATTCTCCGAATTGTTCCTTGTTTGATTTTCTTGTTTACTGTTAAAACCATGTAAACTGTTTTGTGCTGTCCGCCATCTTTGGTTCCTTTTAGGGGGTAGATTCCAGTGTTGATCCCTTATTCCGGCATTGTTGGGTTGTGTCAGCCGTTGATAATATACATTTCTCACCATGTTTCCTTGATTGTTTTTCCTCATTTGGTTATCCTTGTTGTGAGTGTTATTTGGTCTGTTCTTATATGCATTGGTGTTGTTGTGTGCCCGAAATTCGGATCTATGTGGTTTATCATTGCGTACGGCATCAGCGTAAGAAAATCGATTTTCCTTTCTATATCCGGATTTTGAATTTCCATTCCTTTTGCTCCTACGATTTCTTTGTGTGTTCGGGGAATTTTTCGTCACTTCTTTCCCGTAATTTTTCTCATAATTATTTAGCCACTCCTGCTTTTTTTCAAGAATTTTAGCAGATTTATCCATTTCATATTTCACTTCTGTTTTCCATAAATCAAGAAGTTTGGCTTTCATATTTACATCGGTTCTCTCTGAAATTATTTAAAAACAGGAGAGACGTTTACTTTTAAATGTGGTAAAATATTTACCGTAAAAGCGAATATGTCATGCAAATCTAAAAAATTAATATACTGTATGACTTGTACTTCATGCGGGGAAAACTACATTGGACAGACCGGTAACAAACTAGCTGACCGCGTAAGAGTCCATAAACAACAAATACGGGACCCTTCTGTCAGGAATACGCCATGCAGTGAACATTTTGATTCATGTGCGAATGGAAATTTTTTAATATTTCCATTTTATAAAGTTCTAGAAAATAATGAACAATTACGGAGAGCCAAGGAAGATTACTTTGTAAAATTATTTAAACCTAAACTAAATGTAAATTGAACATTATAGCTTAAAATTAGCAGTCTATTTCATCACAATGTACATATGTTCAATTCTCTACTTTTGGCGCCCTAATGATATTTACCTGCGCCAATATATAATGCTGCCTTTATGACGTCACAATAACGACGTCATAACAACCAAGTTGTATTGTTTTTATAAACTTTGTTACACTCTGAAGAGCCTCACGGCGAAAGCGCTTAGTGTAATAATTAAATGTGAACTTGTTTGTTTATCTTGGATTTTATTTTAATTTATATATATATATATATATATATATATATATATATAGGAACAAAATATAAATGAATGGTTTAAATGAGCAAAGCATTCTCAAAGTTGATGAAAACTTTGCTTGGAAAGCAGTATAAAAGATTGACATGAAGACTATATATGTAGGAAAGGGCCAGTTGTAATTAGTATGTGTACATCATTGTGTCCTGTTTGACAGTAGTAGGCGAGAGTCTGCATAAAGTTGTTCAATACTTTATCGACGAGAACAAGTGATCAGAGACAGGGTGACTAGGGAACATGTTGTAGTTACTGACTAGTGACGCTGTAAAGCCAAGTGGCGAGTGCTGGTAACAAGTATTACCAAGCTGTGTGTATACCCAAGAGACAAGTGTTGGTACCAAAAGTTATTTGTGAAGCAAACAGGCATCACCTCGAATAAAGATACAGATATTAGAGACTTCTCTGTGTGCTTAATTGTAGCAGTTGGCAAGTGACTAAAACATATCTGTATATATTCAATACCTCTCACACTAGGCAAGTGCCCATTGTATTTGTATATTTTGCATTCATTATCATATTGTATGACTTAGGCAAACCAACTACAATCCCAAGGTGATCGTTCGGGTCTCGCATGTTACAATAAGGAAAGGTATTTTTACCAGAATTTTGAAATCATTGGGCAACATAACTTCATCTATCAGTTAAATTTGCTTTATACTTCTATCCTCAGTATTATGATATTCAGGTGACCGTTAGGGTCCTTAAGCCTGTTGTTTCTTTGACAATCTTCTTATTTTCTCATGGGTTTTAAACAAACTAACTAAGTTCATACTTATGATGAGAAAGAATGCTTCTTTCAAAATTATGAATTTCGTGACTCCTGTGTCAGGGGTTCTGGTGTTAGGGCAGACTTTATTGATTATATAGTGAAAATGCATGAATTCTTTGAAAATTGTCTTCTTTGCTCCTGGATATTAAACAAACTAACTAGGTACATAGTTATAATAAGCAAGGATGCCTATTCCAAAATTGTGAATTTGAGGACTTTAAAAATAGCGCCCGTCAGGTAGGACGTGTCGTGTAGTCGTGGTCAGTAAACTCCGGACTCTTATTTTGTATTAATTTACACCGTTTTTGAAGGAGGTAATGTGAACAAACCATTCCCCGATGGTGTATTTATCTGCATTATAGTTTACATGTATACGATCAAAAATTGAGGAGTACAAGTATAAATAAACCCGCGCTCGTGTTTGTGTAGAAACTCGTGTTTGTCAGTATTGTGAAAACTGTTCAACTTACCCAAATTTCAAGACTTGATGGAAGTGAAAACTGAAATAAAGAGAACTGTAAAGGGTGACAAGTTGGGGTATATTGTCACGCAACGGGGAACCGGAGTGAGTTATCTTATCTTGCACCGCGAGAGGTCGCCACAGGAAAATGCGGTCCAACACAAAACAGCTGATAATGGCATCTTATCAGTATCTGTATTCTCAAAGAAAGCGAACGTGTTTTATATTGTTTTAAGTAGAAATTGTATACAATGGCAACTAACAAGCCTAACAAATCCCTATTTGGCTGCTTCACCTGATGGCATCATCGATGAAGACACTGTTGTTGAAGTGATGTGCCCTTATGTGGCAAGGAACGAAATGATTTCTCGACAGACAGTCCCTTATATAAGACAGAACAATGGTACATTTTCATTGGACAAAAACCATGACTATTATTATCAAGTTCAAGGACAACTTTTTTGTGCAGAGAAAAAAACTTGTTTCTTTATTGTGTATACATTCAATGATATTTTATTTTTCCAAATTCAAAGAAATGATACTTTCATTTCAGAGATGATAGGAAAACTAAAGTTTTTCTATGAAAATAATTTTAGGCCTGCTGTTCTGGAAAAAAATTATTTTAAATCTTATGAAGACTGTCATTGTCCAAAATAAAAGATTAAGATGCAGTCAGTTTGTGTTCATTTTAATTGTTATAGTAATGCACTAAGTTAGAAATTAAGACAACATCAAATATAAAACCAGTAAATATAAATAATGAAAGCAATTCATGTTGCTATGCATAAGATGGGACAATACAGGTTTTAAAATTGCATAACATAAAACAGACAAAAGTTATATGTGAGGACAGCTTTGTCTCCGAACTATTCATTGGTTCAGTTAAAATTTTAAAGGTTTTAGCAAGACCAATAATTCGCTCAATATGTACCCTTTTGCTCGAAATTTTTCTGTCTTGAAGTACAGTTGCACATGACATTCTGTTCTTTTTTTTGAAAAAATGTAGGTGTGTTTATCTGAATATTTTTGTGAACAAACATGTCTTGCACACTGAATCCTTTATCAGCCATGAAAGAGTCACCAGGATCACATAAATTCAGCAAACTGCTACGTTCCACTATTTGTCTGTCACTTGTTGAACCACCATATGCAGAAGATACATAGGAAACTAAGCCACCAGGGGTTGCACCAACCAGAATTTTCACTGTGTTCTTATTTTTGTATGTTGAGAATGTAGCTTGCTGGGATTTTGGTTGTTTTGGTTTTTTGATAGGACATTCTGTTCCATCAACTACATGTAGAACTCTGGTTTTTGGAAACTTTAGTTTAAAATCAGAGGGACAAAAATATTTCACAAGGGATTTCGGTGGCCATATATCAACTTCTCTCCACTGTTTGGACATAAATAGAATCCAGGTATAGAATATATTAGATACAGTTTTTTCTGAAATGCCGAATAATCTTGACAATTCGTTAGTTCTGTGTCTCCTTAATTTGATGAGAACAAGAAAAAATTTATCTGGAACACTGATATTTGTGACTTGGTGATAAACATTAATTTAAAGAATATGCTGCAGGACCTAAAGTTCTTAATACAAAATAAAATTTAGAGATAGTTTCCAAACCAGTGTAAAAATGAATGCCAGCATCATCCTTTTCAAAGTTATCGATGCACATTGGTGGAAATGTTGGCGTTTGTGTTTCCACATTTTGACGAATTGTTTGCTGATCATCATGTTGACTTGAGACATTTTCATTAGTAGTACTGCTGTAATCACAGATAGTTTCTTCTACAATATTAATGTCATCAAAAAAACACTTCTTCTGAACTGTGACTGGTAGATGCAATGTCTTCTATTAATTTTCTTTTGACACCCCTTGTCCTAGGTCTGTCAGCCCTGGCAAGTACAGCTGGGCTTGCTGGATCTGCCCATTGGAAAATGCTGGGTACTGCTGTTCTCTTTAACCTCTTACTTAAAGGTGTATTTCCTGAAAATATATTGATGATATTCATCAATATTTTTAAGAAAAAATATATATTTCAAAGTTTTTTTCATTTCAGTATGTAAAACATTTAATGATTAATATGAACATATGGATATGTAAAAAAAAAATTTAAAAAAAATGAATAGGTTTGACTGAAGATGCAAACTATTAATTAATTACTATGGCATTGTTTTTCTTTGTTTGATAATCAGGTTAGGAGATTAGACTAATGTAATTAACAAATGCAGAAGAAGTCATCATTTACCACAGGTGGTCTCATTGAACATAGAAATTTACGATGCCAGATGTTTACACAGGGCAGTTGTTTACGTATGTATGGCATGTTTCCGATAGTGCAAATCAGTGGGGGTGTACTCTTGGCATTTGATGTCAAGAGCTGTTGTTTACGATATAATTTAACTACTTTTGTTGATAAAAAATGAGA